AATTACTTAAATTTTGCTTGTCGGGACAAAAGCGCTCTAGCAGGCAAAAGATAACTGATGTGAGCTTTGCAGCTTGTATGGATTATGAGAAAGTCATGAAACAGATGTGCTTCTGCAGTGTTTGAAATTGATATTTGCACTTATGAGTCTTTCATTTCTTGCATAAACAGAACTTAGATTCTGATCACCTCTACTGTCACTTAGATGCCATTAGGGCTGTTTGGGTGGTAATTGTACTTGAGGTGCCTGTCACGAATGCAGTGTGAGTTTCAGCTCCAAGAACCTTGTTCAAGCCATGTGTGTGTTTCTGGTGCCTGCGCTGTATCCGGTCTGCTTTATTCCCACTTCCTGTTTCCCCGCTGCGCGGCAGTGGTGCAGTTTGCTCCGGTTAGCGCCCATGGCCAGTCTGAAAGTCACTGGTTTTTAAAAACCTTCATGTCTTGTTCAGAGAAACAAAATACAGGCTTCTCGCTTGTGTATGTAGATGTCTGTTTGTTGAGGCATGTGTGCTTTTGTGCATTGGCTGTACCTGGAGTCCATAGCCACTGCAGTTTTCCTTGCAAGAAAATGAAGCCATAATAAAAGTAAAAACCAGCATTCTGAACAGTGGGGAAAAATAAACATACTGCTTGATGTATGGAGAGATGTGCAATACAGAAAAATATATCCTCACTCTCAGTACATAATCGACATAAGAGAATGTCTGTATTGGACCACGTCAAATTACTGCAGCGTTTTGTGCAAGCAGTTTAACTGGTCTTAGCAAGAGGAAGAGTTTTGCTGACTGATATGATGTTGTAGGAAAAACAGTATTGGTTTTCATTAGCATCTCCAGGTGAAGAATTTCTTCCTCGCAAGTTACTTTTGAAAATGGCGGTATTTTGAAGGGCTGTGAATAGTCAGTCAGCGCCTACCTTGTTTTTACCCCAAATATAAAAAAAGACTTCCTCTGTCCCACATTGTGCCAGGCCATTATTTTTCTCCATTGTTTGGACACATTGGTGATGTTGTGTGAAATGGCCTGTATTATGCTTTTTGCATCTTCATTAAGGATGGTAAACATTAAAAATCAGTCCTGTAGAAAAAATAATAATTTGCTGGGACCACTTCTGTATTTGTAGAATTTAGAGAATTTAACTGCCGGTTTCCGCAAAGACCGAAACTTCTTTCTGTATGTCCCAATTTGCAGCACAGGCACCTTGGCTATAAATAGTTTGTATGCAACAGAACAGTTACGTGATAAAATTAGTACCAAATGTGTGGAACGTTCTAGTGAATTTACACCATGAAAGACCTTGTCTGTATTAATATGCAGTAATACAGGGTTAGTCGAAGTGTTGCCGACAAGTATAAAGACTTCTTATTTTACTAAAGTTTTGTTTTCTCCTCCACAGATGGCAAAGGATGTAAGGTAATTGTTAGAAACCTTGATATTAATGCTTTCGATTGGAACCTTTTTTGTCACAGTAACCCATCTACGTAATTAGTAATAAACTGTCAAAGTTGTTGACAGCATTTTGACTAACCCTGTATTTGGTAAGGACGAGCAAATTAAGTGATGGCACTACAGATAGGTGATGAAAAGCGTTTTGAATTTGGAATTAGCCTCTTTTCAAAATGTCCCATTTGGGCACAGGCCTACATTTAGAAAGCACTGTCGTTCATGAAAGCTCTGCACTTGCCCTTGTCTTTTCAGTTCAGCCACTGTGCCCAGGGGAAAAACCAGTCGGGTGTGGGCGTGTGTTAAAATGGAGAGGGACAAATGCGATTTGGTGCTCCTGTCGAGAAAGCGACTTGAGCTTAGCTAGCGACGTTTTCATACACGAAGCGTCCCCATTAGTCACGGTTGTTTTCCTTTCTAAGAACTCTACAAGGGGTCGAATACCACTGCTGGCTGTACTCTGGCAGCGCAGAGAACCCCTGCACTGGTCGCACGACTTCTGAACAGCCTTGCAGAGCTTCTGCAGAAATGGCTCATCCAGCACTGTGCTGTGCAGTAGAGCAGCGCATGACAACGTCCAGCGATTCCGTTCCACCCAAAACAAATTGCATGTGATCCGGTTACCTGTGCATGCTAGGATTTTGATGGTTTTACTGTACATAATGGTAAAGTGTAGAGTGAGGCCTCTCTTAATCTATTGGATCACAGAGAGCTTCTGTAGCTGCTTTCCTAACCTCTGTAACAGCAGTGTGACATCAGGTAACTTGGACACAAGCACACAGATGTCTGCAGCTCACGAGAGCGCAACCACTGTTCTACTGAGGAGGGGATATAGGTGTACTCCTAATGTAGCCTTCATCAACAGAGTCAGTTTTGGAACCTGTCATTTTTAAATGTAAAGGAAATGATGTTTACATTCATAACATCAAATCTGATTCAAAGAACAAAAGGAAATGTGATAAAAACGTTAAGTTGTAAAAAGTGAGTAAAAAAAGTCACACTTAAGGTATTTCCCGCGTATCGTTGGCTAGTAAGTTTAGAAATATGATGTGATTTCGGAAATCACACGGAAAGGAGTGTTTGATGATAACATCGGAATTATTTTTCTTATTTCTCTTGAAAAACATGGTTATTCCTCCGAGTTGTCTTGCTGAGGCTCTATAGAGTATCCATATATTTTTATGGAGAATGAGAGAAAATTATCATCAAATACTCCTTTACAAATCCACAGTGTATGGTTGTAATATTAAGGGTTGTTAACCATTGATGTTGTCAATTGTGCATGTTACTTATTTTCAATGACCCACTGAACATGTGCTGTTTTTTTTTTAGTTTTTCTGATTCTACTGTAGCTGTAGTCGGGAAGGAAGTCTAGTCTTGATCATGGTTTTAATTCCACTTTACTACCATTAGACCTGCTTTGATTTTTTTTTCTTTTTTGCAAGTAAGATTGTCTTAAGCTGTTTACGTCAATATAGAATGTCTTGTCTCAGCAATGTGTTAAGCAAGTATTGAGGTTTCTTTGAAATTTTAGATGAAATAGCTGAGGGCAATCAAACATGCTAAACATGTTTCATAAGGTTGTGAATGTCAACTTTACTCATTGTAAAGAAAAAAATGTTACAACTTACAAGCACCTGTCATATTTTGAATTTTACATTATCTTGTTAAGTAAAATTAACCTCCATTACCTTGTGAAAAAATCGTTTAATGATTGACAAAAATCTGCATGTTGTTAATTTTTTCTGTTACACTGTTCAGTGTTGTTTCTAGTTCTGTGGTTCCAGTAAAACAACACAACAACATCATTTTCATTATTTTGCATGCAACTCAATGTGCTTGACTAATCATGAAATCAAACTATGAGAGAGTCTCCATATAAAAACATGCAAAATAGTTTGCGTTTTCCAGAGGCGGTACCCAACCCTACCATTGAAAGTACCCACTGTATAGTACTGCCAGTACGAAGTGTTGCATATTTCAAAAGTGTCCTGATTTGTAGCGAACATTACTGTGGTTTGACCTGTGCAGATTACGGTCTAGAGCCCTGAGGGAGGCTGGACAGCGACTCGCTCGGCAGGTATCTGTTAGTTGGGTGTGAATAAGAAAGTGAGATTTGGGAGGTGTAGTTATGAAATACTGTTTTTGTTTTGTGGGATTAATGGTCCAGGTTAAAGAATTGGTAGTGCTGTTAAAATTAAAACACAAAATCCATTGACTTTTGAATGTAACCTTATATCTGTCTTAAGGTTTGTCCCAGTGTTGATGTTTTCTTCCTGAACAAATGGGAATTAGCCATTTGTTGTTGTTGTTGTTGTTGTTGTTTTTACCCTCTGAATCTGAAATTCCAGTTGTTGATTGAACTTGGTTTACCATTGTGACTCCTGCAGCCCAGGTGGGATTGAGGGCAGTGCGCTGTTCTGGGCTTGTCAGGTTGTAAGAACACGCGCTGCGAGCCACAGGGGGCGCTGTTGTCTGAGTTCAAGCCCTCGCAGCACAGCAGTTCATGCCAGTCCAGTGGAAAAGCCCGACTCAGGGCAGCAGAGTGAGTGCCGTTGACATTTAAGACCCGGAGAGATGGAGTACAAGGTCTGACTCAACTGCCTCCAGTACGAATCTGCAACAATATTTTCGCTCTACCTGAGAAGGAGTACCGGTTGTCATTTTGATTGCCGTAATGGCCTAACTGCAAAGGGGTTGCCACACCTAGTCATTGTGTTAAACGTCATTTTTCATATTTCCATTGCCTTCCAGGATTTCAGTCCCTCTGTAGGCTTCTGTCATGTAGAAGAACACCGCTTCTGGTTTTATTCCTTATGAAATGCTTAATGCTACCTCAACCAGCTGCAATACACCCTTGACACTTTTCTGCTGGAGTGAAGGGTTTTTAAATCGTTGTTTAACACCATTTCTGCAGATGAGATGTAGAAAGCATTGAGATCGAAAGACAGGGGGATAGATGGTACCTGCAGCTGACCGGAGGAGTGCAGCACCTCTGTGGTCTGAAATGTATTTTTAGGTCCAAATTCTCTTTCGAGTCTATTTCTAGTTTTACAGTTTTCTGTAAGAGTATGACAAGTCTGTCGAGTTTGTAACAAGTACTTTGTTAGGATTTGACATTTTAGAACTTTCATGTTTTCTGCATGTTTGAAGTTGCCAGTAAAAATACAATTTGCATTTTTTGCTGGCGAGTGTTGAATTGTGCATCAAAATCAGATTAAAGCCTGCCAAGACTTGGACATGGAAACAGAAAATTGTCATTGATTTTTTTTTTTTAAGTTGTATATTATGTAACCCTGTTATATAGAAACAACTGTACTCCTGTGAGAACTACAGCTTAAAAAGCTAATGGCAGGTGGATAACTTAATTTTTTTTTCTTCAGGAAATGGGGGTTGAAAGCCGTTCAGAAAGAACTAGAAAATGAAAAGGGTGTCTGTATAGAATGTGCTCATAATACAGCATGTTTGTGTTCTGTCAGCCTATAAGAAGCTGCTGCCGGATACCTGCTCGCTGTATGCAGTCTACTCAGTTCTTTCTCCTCTTGATCTGTCTGAACAGAAATGGTGGAGTCCATGAAGAAGGTAGCCGGTATGGATTTGGAATTGACAGTAGAAGAAAGGAACCTACTATCTGTTGCATATAAAAACGTGATTGGTGCCAGGAGAGCATCGTGGAGGATAATCAGCAGTATTGAACAGAAGGAAGAAAACAAGGGCGGAGAGGACAAATTAAAAATGATCCGGGATTACAGGCAAACGGTAAGAGCTGGTGTTACTGCTGCCCACAGGCGCTGAACTGCAGAGCAGCAGCAGCGGAGCTCGAGTGAGCAGATCTGAGAGCCATGTGCACTGCACAGTCTCAGAGAGGCAGTGTCTGCCGGGGGGATATTGCACATTCAGAACGAGGAAAGCTGCAGTGACATGAGTGGTAACAGCAAGGCATACAGGAAACTCTAAAAGTCAGACCCTGGCAAAGTAATTATTTGTGAAAGGTGGATTTGTAGATTCATTCTGAACCTGTGGTTTCCCTACAGGTTATCTGAATGGGATTATCAAACAGAATTGTACTCGACAGTCCATTAATACGTTGGACAAATACGTAAATAAAAGGGCTGATTTCATGATTTCTTTCCCAGCAGCACCCTGCAGTCTGGTTGAACATGTTTTTGCATGGGGTCCCGTTGGGATTCCTATGGTTGTCCAGCTCAGTATTTACCTTTCCTGGATAGGTGGACAAACAGCAGTGTTGGCTTTGCAAACAAAAATTGGCAAGCTTTTGTTGAGTTAGCAAACACCTGATCTTTTGCAGTCTTTTTTTAATGCAGTCATATCTTAATGATTTTTACTGATAGGTGGGCTGAGCATTTGATCACTTAGGAGAAAGCGCCTAGCTTTGCGTTTTCCTTAATAGCATTTTAAACCTTTCGATTTTCAACCAGACTACAGATATTTTCTAAGGTCTGTTTGTGCAAATGGACAAGACTTGTAATCTTAGTTTGGTCAGAGCTCCAACAGACACTTTTGTTGTCAGAACTCCTGTTTTTGTCTTGATGTATTTGCAGTGTTTGATTTAGATTTATTTATTTTTAAAGGTTGAAACTGAGCTGAAATCCATCTGTAACGACATTCTGGATGTACTGGACAAGCACCTCATTCCAGCTGCAAACACGGGAGAGTCCAAGGTTTTCTACTACAAAATGTACGTGTGACGTGCTGACTTTGGAAGGTGTAAGGCTTCTCCCTCTGGAGAAAGACTAATATTCCTGGATCTTGCAAGCTCATCTCCAAACAGTGAAAAATAGACGTCAGCAGTGAAAAGACTCATTTGCTTAGTAACCTTTAGATTTGCTGCTCAGTCCCTTCAGTTTGAGAATCTGCTGACAATATGAGGTTTCAGCTGGTGTAGGCCCCCACCCTTAAGGCACAGCAAGCAGTGCAAAAGCCATGTGGTGAATCTCTAAATCTTGTTCTTGCATACAGTGAAGATTTGCACCCCAGAAGACCAGCTTCCTTAAGCCTGTGTTTTTTCTTGTAGGAAAGGTGACTACCACAGGTATCTGGCAGAGTTCGCCACAGGGAATGACAGGAAGGAGGCTGCAGAGAACAGTTTGGTAGCTTACAAAGCTGCTAGTGATATCGCAATGACAGAACTTCCACCTACGCACCCTATCCGTTTAGGCCTGGCCCTGAATTTCTCCGTATTTTATTATGAAATCCTCAATTCCCCTGATCGTGCATGCAGGTGAGTGAGCCGGGCGGAGAATCACCAGACACGGGTCGTCTTCATTCCATGGCAGGTTCAAATAGTTTTTTCAAACTGAGAGACCAGTTGCCTATAAATAATAAAAATGTAACATTTTCAAGATGTTGCCCAATGGGAGTTTGTTGTTGCCAAGCCAAATAACTCTTATAATTGGTTTTCAGTAAATGAAGCAAGCTAAGATTAATCTTAATGTTTATGCTGTGCAGTATGCTTGCAGGCAACGTATTAGAAAGCACATTAATAAACAGAAGTATGTAGATCATATGCAGCTCTTAAAAAAATCTATCTAAATAACGTGATATAATTAGTGAGAATACATCAGGAAGAGACTGTTACTTGTGCTGTGTCTCTTGTAACTTTGGCCTTGTACTGGTTTTGAAAACCCATTTTACAGGTGTATCTTCAGACTGGTACAACCCATTTCAGCACAATAACAGCTGTAGTGTGGATATAATGAAAAGACCAGTTTATCTGTGCATATGTATACATTAAGAAGGGTCGTGCTGGCTTGAGACATGATTCCAACATTTCTAAAACTTTCATCCTGTTTCAGATTGGCACTCTAGTGTTGTGCCAGAACTGGTTGGGGGTTTATTGGCTAAACCCCCAATAGGAACATGAGCAGAGCATCTCTTTTAGCACAAGATCACCATTCGTCTTTAAAAGGTTGTTTGTGTTAATTAAAGGGTTTAAAAGTAATTTTCATCTCTTTTTATTGCGGAGCTATAAGAATGTATCAAGGAATAGTAGATATCAAGCAAAATGGACCAATTAGCCTCTTGGTCCTCAGCTGTAGGTTCTTGAGGCTTAAGGCTGTGATGCTTTATATGACAAACACTGCTCTCCCTATCTTGTCCCATAATGATGTTGGCAGCAGGGCACAAAAGCAGATGCACTATAATACCCAGATGCCCATGAGAAAAATGGTATTGTGCAAGTCAAAATGGTAGATTAATATTGTACACGGCAAAATCACAAACTTGCCATTGCGCCATTCCCATTTAACTGAACTATGTATGAAGAGACGATGTCATGACTGAGGGTGATTCCTTTTCCCCTGTAAATGTTTTAGGTTGGCAAAGGCAGCATTTGACGATGCCATTGCAGAACTGGACACATTGAGTGAAGAAAGCTACAAGGACTCCACGCTCATCATGCAGTTGTTACGTGATAATCTGACACTATGGACTTCAGACATGCAGGGAGATGGTAGGTGTGCTCTCTATTTCTTGTCAGCTCTTAGCAAAGATCCTGGTGTCACACTTAATTGGTCGAGATGCACTGAAAGATGTTTCTTCTGAATAACATGATTAAATCTGTGGCAAAGCTGGCCTGAGCCCTCCAGTGCACAGGCCTAGACACTTTCCTGGTATGGTGTTTTATTCACAAGACTGTTTAGTTTTGATATTTTTGAAGGACCTTTAGGAACCTTGTATAAAGTACAAGATTAATTAAGATTTTTCATAATTACTACAATTTCATAAATTTTCTTTAAATCCGTTTCAAAACTGCTTTCCAAAACTAGTTTATTGCTGTTTGACTCATTGTCTCTTCAAATAAAATTCCTTAATTTCTCCTTTCAGATGCAGTATAGAACTGTGTTCTGTTTTGTATTATATTAATTACATTAAAATCAGAGACATTTCAGTACTTTATCTTAATTTAACTGAGTAAGATATGGTTGAAAATACTTTTCCGGGTTTGGCTAGGATACTGACCCAGTTACACAGCTGTCTGCTTTATTGAGAGCACTGAGCAGCAGATTGAAGCTGTATTGCAAGCTGAAGGAACCTTTCCCTGTTCATCCATCAGCATCAACCTTTCATCGTTACAGACTTTACTCCGTATTAATTTCACTTTCATTTCTTTTTTTCCCTGTATTCCTTTTTTGTATAGATTCCTAAAGGAAAAAAAACAACTGTTCATTCCCTATAAAAACTGTACTTTGTAAGTCATTTTCCTGGCTCAGTGTTTCCTCTGAGTTTCTCCTCTTCACTAACTGCTCGCTGCATCTTCACTCCTCTGTCACGCGTGTGCCTTAGGGTTGGCCAGATGGTACAGTCATGCCTCTTCAGTTGCTTTTCTTCAATCGGTCTATACGTCTTGTTCAGCTGGTCAACTCTATGCCATTACCAGAGAACTGTTATTGTATATTCTCTGTCTCTACTGAGTGTTTAGTTGACAGGTTGATTTTGGTTTGTTTGGCATGGATTATTAATTGCAAGTTGTCATGCTCAGTAGAGATTGGCTTGGTCTCATTTAGCACGTTTTGTGTGTGCTCACAGTCTTTAGGTTCGATTTTTCTCAGTCTTACAGCTATCTAGAACAGACAAATGTTTTGATGCTGGTCAGTTTCATTAGTTTAGTTAACAGACTACACTGCATCAGACAACATCAGAGTTGGCCATTCGGCACGTTGAATTCCATTTCTCTGTAGTGAACTGGTTCTCATTGTCTGTACTGGTTTTTCTGGAAACAAGCATCCAATATCAGTCCACGACCCTTGTCAACCTGTCCAGTTTAGAGTAGAGAGTAGCCAGTCAAACTAAACAAGCAGCAAACTCTAATGTTGCTATACAGATGTGATTGGAATGGGGTAGCAGTTATCCCAAACTGGATTAACCATGTTGAAATTGGACTTAAAATGTTTCTTCTCTTGAAGTACTAACAGGTAAAATTCTGTCTTTTAACTTTGGACCTAATAAGTGCTTCAGCAGCCTGGTCCATGTGCATGGCTTTCGGTGTGCACAACTGACCTACTTATCCCTTAAGAAAGTTGTTCCCTAAATAAGCTTGAAAAAAATTACCTTATTTTGCAAGTTCTAGTCCTTTGGTTTGTACGTAAGTGTGATCTCTAGCATTAAATACAGCTGCGATGTGATTTGGACTGGCATCAATGGGAGGTTATTGTGTAAGAGTTCTGTGCATTTAGGTGCAACACAAACTTCACAATGCCCTAAAGCATCATAAACTCAAATAGATGGTCTTGAAGGCCACCATATGTTAGTTTTTCATTTTCTCCCAAACTATGTGTTGTGCAGCCAGTTAGCAAGAGTGGTTTTTAGTCCATTGAAATACTTTGTAACTACAGTAAATGGCGCATAGCGATCTGTTACTTCAGTTGAATGCAGGTAGTCCGGCCCTTGATGCGTTGTTGATATCTCTGCGCATTGCTGCCATTGGCTCTGAATTGAGGTCTGATTGGCACAGTCCCTGGACTTGGCTGTTTTAGCATGGTTATTGCAGAGCAAGGACCTGATTTCCACAGTGCAGAGCAGCATGTGGAAATCTTTGCTCATTGCATTACAGTTGAGGAAATGAGAACAGATACACTGAGACATCCTGGAACTCTGCTCTTGAGTGTGTTAGAGTAAGTATTCTTGTTTCAGAAGGCGTCCTATGTCATGGTATTGACCACCTGCTAAAATGCTGTAATTTAAACATGGAGGTCAGAGGTTTCTGTATAGGTCCATCCTCTTTTGTATGTATGTCCCTATTGTGTTTTGCGCGGCGGTCAATAATGGCAGGATTGTGCAGATGCTCAATTTTTTTTTTCTCCTCCCAAGGTGAAGAACAGAACAAAGAAGCGCTGCAAGATGTGGAAGATGAAAACCAGTGAAACTTCACAGCCAACAAGAGATCCACTTCTACTGCTCCTGTCCCCCACCCCTGGAGAGCCACCATCCCACCTGTCTCACTGGCTCTCTGTTCGCTCAGTCCCTCCTTGGGCCTCTTAGGGGTTTTTCCATTTTGTCCAGTTGGGATTTTTTTTTATTTTTATTTTTTAAATTACCCAGTCTGTACGCAAATAGAAAACTGAGAACTTCAAACAGGCAAAGCTAAAGTGTCCCTGGATTTTTTTTCCTGGTACAAGCTGTCTTGATATTCTTAAAGGATACACCCCTATATTGGCTTTTGTTTTTTTTTTTGTTTTCAGCATTTTTATCACTTGCTGGATGTACGTTTTTCGTATCAAAACAAAACGTTGATTACCAACACATCTACTATAATAAGATGTGGGGATTGTAATGTTTCTGTGTTAGTGAAGCCATCAGTTGCAGATTAGAGTATAAGATGGGCATCAAGTTTAGATGGTGCCCTTTGTTGTTAATCTTCTGTTGCCATTTTTCAAAGGAAGTTGGCAGAATTTTGAATATCAAAGTGGAGCAAAAATACATAAATCTTTTAACAACTTAGTGATTATTGTAATGTTTTGTAGTGTTTTGGACTGTATATTGTGCTAAAATACTGTATTTGCACACATTCTTGCTGATTTCAGAAGATGGCTGGTAGCAGTTTTAAAAATCCAAAGGAGCCCTGTTGCTTTGTTCCCTTTTACTTTGCTCCTCTAAAAGCAGGTCTACATTGGCAGTTCTAAGAGAAAACCAAGAACAAAAGTTAAAAGCCTGCATGTGTTCAAATTCAATCTTATTTTTTTTCTTCCTTTCCCCCCTTTCTACTTCCTCTCTTCCGTTCAGTATGTGTAACTTGAAGCTAATTTGTACTACTGGATATCTGACTGGAGCCACAGATACAGAATCTGTATTGTTCTTACTGAAACACAGCATGGAATTAACATTAAACTTAAAATAAAACAACCTAAATTAAACATTCATATGTGTTCTGTTTTTGTGCTTTGCGAGGGGGTGGGTCTGCTGGGTGCTGTACTAGCAGTGGTGTAAGATTTCCTCTCCTAGATCACGTGAAGTGCTTTTGGATCTTCTGGGATAAGAAATGTTATATTCATCTGTACCCAGGATCCTGTGAAGGAATGAAAGTGATATCCTAACAACCCTACCATTCAAATTTTGTCCTAATGCTGGTTTCACGGGTCAAGATCATCTGTTTTCCAAGAGCAGGTTACCTGAAAGAACATGAGGCAGGTCAAGATGGGTGCCAACTGAAACCACTTAAGTCAAGTTTTCAGGGTTAAATTTAGTGTAGGTGGTCTTCAGTTCTGTGCCTTCATGAATGTATATTTCACGTCTATTTAGAAAAAAGGAGGAAATCTCCCTACAAATACATTTGTTCTAAATCAATTAGAGCTTCTGGACTTGAGTGTGTGCTGTACTAAGTAAAACCTGGAATACATACATGCAGTTTCCCACCTGGCCAGATCAATAGAGGCTTCCAATCCATTGACTGAATCCATTGATTATTAGGTTCCACTTCTTACAAGATGGAAGAGGAAATTGGTCGAAATCAATGCATTCCACTGGGCTGTAAAAGATACCAGGTTCAGCTCAATCACTAATATGGACTATGCAGATGTAAAGCAGTCTTCCTTTGTTTAGATTGTAGAAATGTAAAAACTGCTGCTCTTTTTATTGGATCATGGCTGTTCACCTGAGGATGAAGGGGGTGGCTTGCTGCAAGTTGTTTGGGATGTCAGGTTTTGGAATCTGCACAAGTGTTTCGAGCTCAGTTTATGGATTCATTGTCCCAGCTGAATCTCTGGAAAATGCTCCACTGGCTCTTCGTATGTCTGTACTCGCTTCAGCTGCTAGTGTATTGTAGTTATCCAAGTGGCATGTAGCAGGAAACGAGCAAAATACCAGAATATGAAACGTTATGCTGGTGGGAAAATGTGCAATTTTGAAATTTCTGGGTCAATAGTGTTCTTGAAAACATAGCTTGTTTGCATGATTCACTGTGAAGTGTGTCGAGACAGTGCTCGCTTCTGAAAGGGCCCTCTGAGGGACACAGGGATGACTAACGCGGACATCAGAGCGGTGTTCTTAGCCCACGAAATGCTTCGTGAGAGAAAATCCAGCCAGTTTTACAACATGAGAACTGAGCTGAAGTCACGTGGGCCAGATTAGTGATGATAGTGCTCTGCAAGTCCCAGGCTTTTAACTAAATTCTCAAAGTACATTAAATATGTGTATCACCATGCATTGAGTCACTGGAGGATCTCCCTGAGATTCTGTTCATCCAAATTTACAACATGCTGTGCTTTCTGGGGTTGTTTATTATTTTGTACTCATTATCCAGGTTTGTTCTCATAAATAAATGTATAGTGCCAAGTCAGACAATACATATCCCTTTAACTGACAGTCAGTATGGTTACACTGTGTCTAAGGTTCTGCGCCTGTGGCTGGAAAGTTGCCGGTTCTAATCCAGTGGCCAGCAGAGGAATCCTACTCCGTTGGGCCCCTGAGCAATGCCCTTAACCCCAACTGCTCCAGGGGCGCTGTACAATGGCTGACCCTGCGCTCTGACCCCCAGCTTCTCTCCCTGTCTGTGTGTCTCATGGAGAGCAAGCTGGGGTATGCGAAAAGACAGATTCCTAATACAAGCAATCGTATATGGCCAAGAAAGTGATCTTACCTAAGAGGAAGAATGTGCTGTATCGCGTGCAGCCTACCCCTAACCCCTGTGCCCTCAGTACACACAGTGCCATATCTCCAAACCAGCACATGAGGGCTCTTTTTTCCCCAGGAATTTTAAATGATGCCAGTCCCGTTGTTGAGCACTTCTGTAACAGCTGGTGACGCTTCCACCTGGCTGGTTACTCCAGCAGACTCGCTGCACAACGTTCTTGCTATTCTTACCAGCTCAGCAAAGCACAAAGACGCATTTTAATTCCGCAACAGTTTCAGCCTCTCCAAACATATAGGAGTATGGGAACCGTAACTCACAGCACTTGGGTTACCAGGCACAATACATTGCAGTTCAGGTGGGGAGCTGCGTCAGCATGCGTAGGCTGCAAAGGAACAAATAATAGGTTTATTCCAGGTTGAAAAGAGAAGAAAGGAAACAACATTTCAGCCGTGGAGCCTTCTTCGGGTCTTCACACCTGAAAAGGGCTCCACGGCTGAAACGTTGTTTTCTTTCTTCTCTTTTCAGCATGGAATAAACCTATTACTTGTTCCTTTACAATAAATCGCAGCCCCTTCTCAAAACCGGCAAAGTGTGCCTAATTCAAAGCAATCAAAACACCTTTAACACCTATTTATACATTATATACCTATGCACATTTTGCACACATTTTATTATTTTTACAGTGACTATGACCCTATTTTGCACACACCTATGTATTTTTATTTTGTTTTACTGCACGTATTCTAATTTTTCATTTATTCCGATGTCTGTTTTTTTGCTTGTCCTGGGCTGGACTGCTGTAACATCAATTTCCCTTCGGGATTAAAAAAGTCTTATCTATCTATATTCTTTACTCTCTTCAAAGCATTGTAAAGCAGACATATTATTCTTTCCATTGTTCTCACTCATCATCCAATGTTCGTCACAGTTGTCCTAAACACATCTCATCCACAGGAGGGATTGGGAATGTATTCAGAACTGTGGGGGCTGTGACAAAGAGGAGGCGGGGTCCGATTGTGGTAATGCTGAAGACTTCCTTACAGCCAGATGGGTTAAAATTGGCTGGACCTGCCCGAAATAATCTGTTATTTTAATGCTTTTTGCATCAGGTCCTGCTGTGGAACATGGTGCTGAAACTACGGCACCTGTGTGCAGGAAGGTTCTGTCAGTAGCTCGTCTCGTACCCAGCACACTCCCCAGATGGCTGTTCACCTGTGAGCGATTTAAACACCAGGCAAAGGAATGTTCACGCGGTCTTTTATTTAAAAAGATCGACAAAGCTCTGGCACTTTGAGCACAGCCCAGTGTGCGAAGCTCTTTTGTCAAGTCTGGGACCGGTCTCTTTTGAGAGTTTCCTATTCTAACAGCATGTTATGCGCCGAGACTCTTTTTAAGCAACGATCCCTGTCTGTCCTGAGAAATACAGCCCCGGAGGCTGGCTGGGCTGCACTACAGCAGGGAGAGCAGGGTCTTCAAGCTGGGGTGGATGTTGCAGCTCCTCAATTTAGACGTCAGGGAGCAGAAGTCTGCCTCCTCCAGCAGGCTTCTCTCTCCGTTCTCGGGGGCCTCTGTGTCCTCCGTTCTGGGGTGACAGTTTCAAACAGGGGAAACACAGATGTCAGCATCCAAGCGCCAGGGTGCTGTGTTTCTAGCCCAGCACAGGCCCAAAACTGAAGACGCTTCAATGATCATGCGTTGAGAGCTGAGTCCTGTGACATGAATTTTACTCTAAATCCTCTCCTCTTTCAAAATGTTTTCTATGGAATACCGTGGGGAAAAGGTATGACATTGAATTCATGGTAAAAGCACACCAGCTGAGGACTGGCTAAAGCATCATATAGGAATGGTACCATTATAAACTGACATTAGAGATCCTAGAGGTAGAATAGGTACTGAGGTAGACCTTATCCTGGGAGACACAGTGCTGCAGGTTTTACAAAGAGGAGATCTGGACAGCATGTTCACTCCTCCTGCTGAGGCAAGGGTCTGACCGTCCAGAGCTCAGCTGGAATATGAACTGGGAGAGACTACGGTCTCCAGGACCCATCAGCACACCCAGCGAAGTTCATGGGTGCGGACACATCGGATGTTCCAAGAGGATGAGTGCCAGGAACCTGCCTGACTTCCAAAGGCAAAGACCAATGAAGGAAATCAAGGCGACACGGACTGGCCAGCGGGCCGCAGGGAGGTGCAGAGGGCTGGCGAATGGACTCACACGAAAGAGGAGTAGAAGAGGCGCTCCGAGAGCGCACACAGGGCGCAGAAGAGCGTGCTGTCGAAGAGAGTGGTGCTGTCAGCGACCACCAGCCCTGCCAGCCAGCGCACCTGCTGGGAGCTCAGCTCGTCCATGTAGACGTTCCTCAAAGCGCCTTCCATCTCCTGCATGAGCACAGAGGGGCAGTGAGCACATGGAGGGCTGGAGCACACAGGGGGCACCAGTACACAGAGGGCACGAGCACACAGGGGGCACCAGTACACAGAGGGCACGAGCACACAGGGGGCACAAGCACAAAGAGGGCACGAGCACACAGGGGGCACCGATACACAGAGGGCACGAGCACAGAGAGGG